TATATATATATATATATATATATATATATATATATATATATATTAAACCAGCTTTTCTTAAAAACAACAAACTCAAAGTTACTTGGTAGGCTTTTAAAAAAATAATGTCATCATTAATTCCTATTAAAGTTCATCTTGTTTTCTGCTGATCCGAGTTCGCGTTTGAACCACGTTACATATTTCACCAATAACTTTATTTTTACCAGTGATAAACTATGATAATGTGATCTGTACGTCCTCTCAATATAAATTAATATCAATAGCAAATACACATCTGCAAAAAAAAAAAAAAAAAAAAAAATTGACCGCAGATTGCAATATAAACGTCGGTCATCAACTTTTAGTAATTAACTTTTTTTGACGCCAGCTTAACTTGCTCCCACTTTGCCATGCGATGCGAATAAATATTGTGTTCATTTTAACAAACTGTATGTTTATTTATTTTCTAGTAAGATTACCGTATTGTACGATTTTGAGACAATTGTTATTCGATTTTAGGATTTCGAGGGTAAACAAGGTCTGTAATAGACAAGAAAATCTAGATGCAATAATTTAAAATTGAAAATGTTAAATTGAAAGCGCATAGCAGACATAGCGGTCTCCGCAGGTCCCATACGTTTTACCAAGCAAGTTCAAGTACCGTCGGCGGTCCGGATGAACTAGCCTCGCGGGCCGTGGTTTGGTGACCCCCTGGTCTAACTCATAATCAAATGTAAATGTAAATAATCATTGAATGTGTTATGTTGATAAATCACAATGACAAAACTCAACGGAACTATAATTATAGTATGTGCGGTGCTGGAGCAGTGGTCTATATAGTTTTTTTTGGTATTTAAAAAAAAATCAATTCAATATCAACGCGGTTTTAAATGTTTGTAAATATCTCAATTGGTGAAATCAGATCAGCCCATCCACCGCTACGAAATGCCCATATATGGGAGCGTTCTTGGGATAGCAAGATGAGTTCAGCTATATCAAGGCCCATCACTCTAGACCAAGGGATGTGACTGAGGCATGGATCTAAGTTCAACAATCTCGTCATCCAGCGCCACTTGTGTTTGGGTGTTGTCGTTGCCACTGCTACTACTTTTGTCTCTGGAAATATATCAGAAAAAAAAACCCACAGAATAAGCCTATTTTATTTAGAAAATGTTAATTTTACGTACGGCAATGTCAAATACAAAACAAGTTTATTTGCTATATAAACTAATAAATGATGAGTAATTCTCTGTTGACATGCACATGTATTCCTTCAAATGACTACGTAAGCTGGCGAAAGAGCTGGGTTGGGCTCGGTAGGGTCAACTAACTGTCCTCCTGTGAATCACTTTAGCAAAATCAAAACAGCAAAAAAAAAAAAAAAAAAAAGGTACCAGTTGTAGTATTCGTCTATGTTTTCTTCACCTTGACCTTGTTTGATTAGGACCATTTAAAACTGTGATGATAAAATCGACGGATAAAATGACTACGTAAGCTGGGGAAAGGGCTGGGTTGGGCTCGGTAGGGTCAACTAACTGTCCTCCTGTGAATCACTTTAACAAAAACAAAACAGCAAAAAAAAAAAAAAAAAAAAAGGTACCAGTTGTAGTATTCGTCTATGTTTTCTTCACCTTGACCTTGTTTGATTAGGACCATTTAAAACTGTGATGATAAAATCGACGGATTTAATATTTCCTATTTGATCATAAAGTTTAAATGTCAATGCATGCAATGAATTTTTTAAATAATAAAATCAAATATATTTTAGACAAAATCGAGGTACCTGTATATTCGGCCAGCAGAAGTTATTCTATCTTTTCCTTTCGATACACCATTTTGAGCTAAATATTCCAAAATCACGCATGTTTTTAAATAAATAGATCCCCCCCCCCCCCCAAAAAAAAAAAAAAGAAAAAAATTTTTTTTTAAAAATCCCTGTTCTCTGACGCACCTGTTGACGACTGACCCCGGCCGAAGTCGACCGTTGGAGATGACAGACATCCGCGTGCTGGAGATGGACGTGCTGAACCTGTAGGCACGTACGAATGGCTTCCCCTTCAGGCATGCGCAGATGGCTAATTTGAACGACTGTCGGAAGTTCTTGGACATGAAGGCGTACACTATGGGGTTGACACAGCTGGGCAGAAACACACGAAACAACACGTTTACAAAAAAAAATAACTATTTAAAATTTAAAAAAAATGGTTGATGCTCTGAGAGTTTCGTGGAATTGAATAAATAAATTGAAACAGCTGGCATCTAGCTGGACTCAGATCAGTGGCGTAGCTAGGGGAGGTTTTTATTTTAAAATAAGAAAAGACCCCCCCCCCCCGGGTCCCTATTTGAGGTGGGCCCCCAAAGGCGTGTCCGAAATTTTTTTTTTTTACATTAAATAATGTCAAATGTCAAAATGCAGGGGCCCCTAAAGAGGCCAAGACCCCAAAGCCCCCAAATCCCTAGCTACGCCACTGACTCAGATGTAAACACAAAGAAGTCAACTTATGAGATCGCTATCATAGTGTTAAAAGTTAAGAAATACATCAGGCAAGAAAAGGAATACAAAATATAACTCATTATTACGTCAGTGTTGGATTTATGGTTTAAAAAAGGGGGTGGGGTGGGAAGGTGTTTAGGAAGGATTATCGGAAATGTGTACGAAACAAACCTGTTCGAAGGAAAAGTTGTTAGAAGGATATTTGTTTTAAAATTAAAAAAAAAAGTGGGTTTGTGGGGGGGGGGGGAGGAGACAAATACAATTTTGTGAAGAAGTTAACATTCTCCCAATTTCTCACTAACCCTTACTTGTAAGCATCTATGTCAAAGATGTTGTATACACTCGGCAGTGGGCTTGTAGACCAGCGGTTCCTAAAACTGGGGGGAAGCTGGGACCAAATAAGGGGTGTATTCGTTTTAGACAAGTGCGCTCTTTGGTCTTATACATGTCTATATACCCACTATTCAACTCCGCTCATCTGATAGTCGCACATTCTCGGTACCACGTGTTCGCCTTGAGACTTACGCGGGGCGTACTTTAGCATTTGCTGGCCCCAAACAATTTGGAACACCCTTCCTGTCGCTCTCAGAAACAGCCAGTCAGTGGAGTCTTTCAAAACTGATTTGAAAACATATCTATTTCGCCTGCTGGAATGATGTCTATCTAGCTTATTATCTTGTGGATGTGTATCGGCCCTGGGTTGTTTATGGTTGCTAGGTATGAAAGACTTAGAATGGTTATTCTCGTATTTCAGAATGTTGCATTTTGTATTTCAATGTGGTATATTTTAGATTGTTTCATTTCTCTATTAATATACTAGACTATGTACCGCGCTTCGAGCCTTTGGTGATGAAGCGTGATTTTCAAATAAACTTTATTATTATTATTATTATTATTATTATTATTATTATTATTATATTAAGGTCTCCTCATTTGTTTCCACCACTGTATCCCCATCTCGATTTTAAAACACATTTCCCGCACCAGCCCCCCCTCCCCCGATTATATCATCATGTAAATAAAATTGCATATTAACCACATTTTCTTGATCCTTACGCGCACCACCTAACACTGCCTCTGACGCCCCCTGGGGTCACGGCATTAGTTGGTAAGAACCCTTGCCTTATTTTTTTTTTTTATAAGATATAAGGGTGGGCGCTGAGGAGTTTGGGGCGCATGAACTTATGAACGAGTGTTATTGACATACTCTGACACGTGCAGGACGTTATTTTGTCGGTGGATGGGCACTTACCTGTTCATATAGGACATAAGAAAGAAGGCGGCCCGCATCGGCTTAAGGTAATCGTAGTTGAGAGGGTTCAGGATTCCGAAGGCCGCAAGGACGTTGTTGATGAGGATCGGTCCCCAGCAGATGGCGAATAGTACAACGACGATGACCAGCATGACTACAAGCTGCAGAGAGACGTAATAAATAAAAATAGGGATGTGATAGAGAGAGAAGAAATGACGGGAGCAGTGATTATTTCAGAAATTTTCTTCCGGTGGGGCATTTCAGATTTTTCAGGGGGCCTGGGAGGGGGGGGGGCAGTGTCATCAGTGACAGTTGATTTATTGTTGGACATATGATTGCTCCGGGAGGCACTTGGCTTCTCCCAGGGGGGAAGTGCCCCCCTCCCCCCGGAGATATAGCTGAAAGAAACCCTGGACGGGAGTACTAAATGAGAAATCTACCCTCCATTTGGGGCAGTGGGCCTCAAATTCTTTGTCCTCGTTGTACATATGTATATATTGTTTTAAAATCTTTAACCTAATAATTTAATAACAGCTTAAACAATTTTTTATTTACATAATGGTTCTTGAAAATGGTCCCCAAAACTTTTTACTATTAACTAACAAGGCCCCCGTGGGGCCGGGGCTCCAAGCGAAGTCTTTTTTTTTTAGAATTAAAGACAGGATTTATTTTGTAGACCGAGCTCCGATACAGCTGCACTTCGAGGCCCGGCAACATTTGAAAAGCAGGAGGGGTGTCTGAGGGGGGATGATTGAAGAAAAAAGGGGGGGGGGGTTTGAGGGGGTGGGAAATGTGAAAAAGGAATGCATATACCAGAAACATGTCTATAGAAGAGTGGGGCAACATAGCCGTAGAAGGGTGGGTAAACATAGTTTGTTTAAGAGTGAGGGCAACAAAGCTGTAGAGGGGGGGGGGGGTTGTAAAGAGTGAAGAAACAAAGCTGGCCGAAGAGTCGGTACCATAGCAGGTAGAAGAGTGAGAGCAACAAAGCTGTAAAAGTGGGGGTGGGGGTGGAGGATGTAAAGAGTGAAGAAAAAAAGCTGGCCGAAAAGTCGGTACCGTAGCCGGTAGAAGAGTGGGGCAACACAGCTGGTAAAATAGTAGGACAACATAGCAGGTATAAGATTGGGCAACAAAGCTTTAAAAAAAGAGGGCGCCAACAGCGTATAGAAGAGTGGACAACATAGCAGGCAGGAGCGTCTGGCAAGAAAGCTGTTATAGATTGGGCAACATAGCTAGTACATAAGTGGGGCAACAAAGCTAGTACATAAGTGGGGCGACATAGCTAGTACATGAGTGGGGCAACATAGCTAGTGCATAAGTGGGGAAACATAGCTAGTACATAAGTGGGGCAACATAGCTAGTACATGAGTGGGGCGACATAGCTAGTACATGAGTGGGGCAACATAGCTAGTGCATAAGTGGGGAAACATAGCTAGTACATAAGTGGGGCAACATAGCTAGTACATAAGTGGGGCAACATAGCTAGTACATAAGTGGGGCAACATAGCTAGTACATAAGTGGGGAAACATAGCTAGTACATAAGTGGGGCAACATAGCTAGTACATAAGTGGGGCAACATAGCTAGTACATAAGTGGGGCAACATAGCTAGTACATAAGTGGGGAAACATAGCTAGTACATAAGTGGGGAAACATAGCTAGTACATAAGTGGGGCAACATAGCTAGTACATAAGTGGGGAAACATAGCTAGTACATAAGTGGGGAAACATAGCTAGTACATAAGTGGGGCAACATAGCTAGTACATAAGTGGGGCAACATAGCTAGTACATAAGTGGGGAAACATAGCTAGTACATAAGTGGGGCAACATAGCTAGTACATAAGTGGGGCAACATAGCTAGTACATAAGTGGGGAAACATAGCTAGTACATAAGTGGGGCAACATAGCTAGTACATAAGTGGGGCAACATAGCTAGTACATAAGTGGGGAAACATAGCTAGTACATAAGTGGGGCAACATAGCTAGTACATAAGTGGGGCAACATAGCTAGTACATAAGTGGGGCAACATAGCTAGTACATAAGTGGGGAAACATAGCTAGTACATAAGTGGGACAACATAGCTAGTACATAGGTGGGGCGACATAGCTAGTACATAAGTGGGGCAACATAGCTAGTAAATAAGTGGGGCAACATAGCTAGTGCATAAGTGGGGAAACATAGCTAGTACATAAGTGGGGCGACATAGCTAGTACATAAGTGGGGCAACACATCTAGTACATAAGTGGGGCAACATATCTAGTCCATTAGTGAGGAAACAAAGCTAGTACATAAGTGGGGAAACATAACTAGTACATAAGTGGGACAACATAGCTTGTACATAAGTGGGGCAACATAGCTAGTACATAAGTGGGGCAACATAGCTAGTGCATAAGTGGGGCAACATAGCTAGTCGAAGAGTGGGACAGAATATGTAGTAGAATAGTGGGGCAACAAAGTTTTAGAATAAAAGCTATGACTAGGCAGGATTCGTTAAAAGCGACTCATTCTTACAAAGGAAATAGATCTAAATTCATGTTTACTTTTCATCCATATTACCTTATGGCTCGTTTTCTAGTTCTATAAAAACTGGCTGACCCCGTCATCAAAGAGATTTAAAAATTACAACACCCCCCTTTCTATTTCCGGAGAGACAAGAACTTTAGGGACTTGCTTGCTAGAAGTCAACTCCCTGCTATTAAAGCACATAGAGGCACCACAAGGTACAACCGTAGCCACTGCACGCATGTGATTGAAGTTGAGAAGATCACTATCCCTCTGGAAATATTCAGAATCAAAGATTTGCTTCCCTTGCACAAGTCGCAAAGTGATCTACATAATCCTTTGTAAACAGTGTGGTAAATCTTACGTAGGTGAGACAGGTCGTCGTCTTGGAGACCGTTTTAGAGAACACTTGTGCGACATCAATAAACAAGCACTTTTTCCAGTTTACAAATATTTTAATAGCCATAATGGAATTTTAGACATTACAATCACTGATATATTGTATGCAATGAAACTAACGAATAGAATGTACATTGGAAATAAATTAATAAAAAGAGTTTCTATGTTAACTCCATACGTATTAACAAAATTTATAATTTTACATAGCTGTCATGTCTTTTTTATTTTTGATTTATTTTTTATTTGACTTCAGACCACTTCTTTTCCGTACGTCTGAACTTTGTTTTTGTCAAGGATTCGCGCCCATCCTTATCTTTGTCTCTCATTTTAGGTAGGATACATGTATATTGTTATGTAGCACACTTTTTCCGTGCGTAAAATTTACTTGACCTAAATTAGAATCCTAGCAGACAGTAACGCCTGTTGTGGGTGGGGCTTATTCGTTTGATATATCTTGTTTACAACCGTGTTTACCAATTAAACATGTTAGACTGTATTCCTGGTATTTTCTCGAATGTGCTCGATAACCCGAGAAATGTAAACAACACGTCATAAGTCTTTTATGGAAGTCAGGGCTTACGCGACCTATATAAGGGATTGACAGGCGTGGACGGAGATTACGATACGTTTTATTAACTTCACAAGACGTGTATTAATCTTTGTGTTCTTATATATGTGTTTATTTCGCATCCAATCATTATCCATTGGCACATTATACGAACTGTGTTAACTGTGTACCGGTACAAGATCTACCATACTGTAAGTTGAAGATTGTCATTATATTTTCTTTTCTTTTGTAATTATCTTAAGACATAATAAATCTTATTAATTGTGGCTAGCAACTGTTTTGGGTGTCGTATCTTTAATGTTGTTGACTCTATGGTATCGTCCTTTGTTAGGCACTGTTTACAACGAGCCAATAAAATTAAAATAGGAGATTAATTTCTCATATTAAAAGCCAGTGCGTAACATATATATATATATATATTATTATTAATAATTAATTTATACTCATATGAATGTTTTTATGCCTTTTTTTCGTACTGATAAAGGCATTTATCGAAACGTTTTTCATTTGCATTCTTCATAATAATTATTAAAGCTAAACTTGTATATTTTTATCGAAACAAATTGTTCGAGTCCCATTTAAGCATACATTTAGAAGAGTGGGGCAACATAGCCGGTCGAAGAGTCGGAAAACATATGTTATAGAAGACTAGGACCACATAGCGGGCACACATTTGAATGCATATCAGATCCGGACAGAGAGCCCCCTGCTCCAGCGCACGTCCAAATCCCCATTTTACTTTACCTGCTTTGTCGTCTTTGAGTCGTCCGTCTTATCTTTGGTTCTGTCTACCCTCGTGGTGGTCCTGCTCTCACCGTTGAACGAAGTTCCGAGTAGCGAGCTTTCAGCGCCACCTATGCTGTGACGTGCACGCTCTTTAACTACAGGGGCAACTGCTCTGTACAAAAAGAACAAAAAAAGAGACGAAAAATTATTTTAAAAACTTTCCCAGATCATTGGACTTTCCCCCCTTGTACGCATTCCCTTTACGCATTCCCTACAACGTATTTCATATTTATTCATCTTTGAAAAGCAAACCAAACCTCGTACGGTCGTACAACTTGTTTAATCGCCAATGCAGAAATAAATGTGCACGAATCTATCTTCCAATTAACCCATGCGTAGTTCTATCCATACACAAATTCACTTGTACATATCGATTGATTTCTAACATCAATCCATAATTGTAACCGCGCTAACCTCCGTGTCTCATCTTTACAGCCTAAACATCGTTACTTCCATCCAGTTGCGTAGCTAGGGGGATGCCGACCGCACCATCTGATTGGGGCGTGACGCCACATTGAACAATTGCATATTTACAGAGTAGACACTACCCGGTCTAACCGAATTCGATAACACGATAAACCGATCACGCGTACATTTCACACACATGAAACCAATCCAAATGAGTGCTGTATCAAGAGCTCAAGGCCGGTGCGTCAGATATGGGGTGACCCTATAAATAGGTCAGAACAATTCTGAGAAATAAAACTTTCCATTAATACCAAGTACGATGTGGTCGAGCGATTCTATGTACATGAATCGAATCGGTAGAAATTTAAAACATTTTAAAAAATTGACTTTTTTCCCGATTTATAGGGTTAACACAATGATATATAGAATATATTCTTATACCTCTTAATAATTAATTTAATGTATTTAATTTTTAAAAAAAGAAA